CGACGGAGCACCCATCGCCGACGGATCATCCCTGCTCCTTGAACTTTACAACTTGGAGAGGAATAGTTGTTTGTCCATTTCACATTACGAAACTTTGATTACAATTAGTGAATTTAATTATGAAGTAAAAATGGATGGATTTCATCAACCCCTATGGGTGGTATACATTTTTAGAACTTTACAGGTCTGTGGGTATTATCGAAAAGAAGACGGTAGAAACAAATTGGACTATGTGCCAGCACCATAATGCACAGCAAATAATTCATCTACACGTGGAGGCCAAATATTTATACACATATATACCTTCAGAAATTGGATTTACTGCTCAGTTATATAAAAATTATATTCTTATCTAGGCTTCTCAGAAATCTTGAAGTAGAGGTGGGATTTGATTTCAAGATACAGGCCGTCAGCATGTGGGTTGGGGAGAAATTGGTTGCTGGAGATTCAGTGAGCATGTGGCTTGGGGAAATTGGCTGCTGGAGATGCATTATATATTGTGGGGTTTATGGAATTTTTATGTATTGATATTTAATCAAGATTAAAAGGGGAAAATTGGCTGCTGGAGATCCCAGGTTTTTTTTTTTTTTTTTTTATGAATAATTATGGGCCACCACGCCAATTTTTAATTGCCTGTTTCCAGCCCTGTTTATATCCCTGGCTAAGTAGCAGGGTTGTTAATTAATAGACAATTAAATAAATAATAGAATCCGTAGATTCAAATCTTTGTAATTTGTTAATCACAAGGAGTTGTGATTGTGAGATACAAATTACATCTGATTGAATCTTAAATCGTCTGTGGTCGTAAGTAATAACGAGATACGGATATCGTTATTACGGATAGACCATCACGTGTGGCATTTTTTACTTGTGAAGTAAGTAACTGATCTCACAAGTTAAAGTGTGGTGACACTTAAATAAACACGTGAATATTTTGTTATAGAACAAAATATTGGAGACCCACCGAGAGATTCCACATGGATAACTATCTGAGTGTCAGTGGTTAATCTCTAACGTTCGATGGTGGAATTGGTCCTTTGACTTGAAGTCGTCATGGTACCTTATATGAGGACAATCATACTTTAACGGTGTTGGATGTTGCTCTGCAAAGGACTGTTAATATGACATCGTTCGGGTACGTCAAGAATCATATGAAGGTTGTGATTGACCAATAAATGATTCGTCACTCTTAGATAGTAGGAGATTATGATCTACGTTTCATTCAATTAAGTCAATGATGAAATCCTTGGGCAAGGTGTACTCATAAGTCGAAAAGGAGTTTTCGACTTGTATTGACTTAATAGTGGAGTGAAAGATATAATCAATAATCGAGATTGACACACTTCCATATCTCGTAATTGATTGGATCATATTGACGAAGGGATTATGTTTCACGGTAAATGAACGAGTTTGGTTTTGTCATACCACGTGAAATTTTTCGTCACATGTATTGCCTTGACACGTTGCTAGATGTCAATCTGGGACGGCGTGTGTGAATTGTTGATAAATTAAAATGGTGTTTTAATTTATCAATTTTGATTAAATCAAAATAATATTTCACGTCTTTAGATATTGTGATCGAGAACCTGATGGGTCGCACAAAAAAGAGAATTGGAAGATTGCAATTTGTCAATTAATTAATTTAATAATCGTTGGATAAATTAATTAATTTGTTTGATTATTTATAGGCCCACATTTCACGGACCAAATTTAATTAAATAGATTAATTAAATATTAGACCAGACCGAACCAGACCTGTTTGAGTTTATATAAATACGTGGTTAAGGCTTTCAATCCATGTGATTTTTCTCATAATTATTCTTGCTAGTATAAGAGGAAATAACCCTGGCAACTGTAATCTTGTTCTCTGTGTGGATCACCGTTGGAGGCTGGACAATTGGACAGCTGTTGGTGGCAAATCAAGATTGCTGGAACGAAAAGAAAAGCAAAAGGTTTGTAGAATTCTTCAAAGGTACAATCTTTATCACGATTTCTATCTAAACACAAAGGGATCCTCGGTGGGAATCGAAATAATTTTAATTTTTCGCTGTGCATGTATAAGTAGATTCCCAACAGTAAGTACAGTGTGAATATCTGTGTAAGTTGATAAATCTTTAGAATATTGCTCAGAATAGTCATCTTTTCTTTGTTTCATCAGTTCAAGAAAGATGAATGAGATGTCCATTCAAATGAAAAGGACAATCACATCGCCTCAAGAGGAAATTGGTGGCAGGGTAAGATTGGTGTCTGAGTTAATGATACAAACATGTTCTTATCAAATTTAATTCTAATTTGTGGGAAATAAAAATTCTTACTCCAATTTTTATCTGCAGGATCTCTATATTACTAATAGCTTCCTTTACTACTGCAAATTCTGCTTTCAAAGACCAGGTATTTAAATAAGAAATTTACTATACATTTTTCTAAGCATTTTCCCAACTCTTAATAATGTCTTTTACTTTCTTTGCTAATTTTGCAGGATTATGAGACTCTTTTACTTACTACATCAAGGAATTACCGGACTGTGTGAACATTGCAACATTTTACTTCCCTTTTTATCATTATGTTTATCTGGTTTCTGTAAATGAATTTGGCATGTTTTGTACATGAAATGATCCTCAGTTAGGAAAAACTGAAATCCCGAAACTTCTCTATATTCCTTTTGCATTCAACCTAACTACACTGCCTTTATATGCCCAACTTAAAGCAGAAATTCAATTTTTTTTCAGTTGCAATAATTAATATTTAATGTCCTTTAGTTGATCCGAAGATGGTTAGACTATCAAGAGTATCAACATCTCCGTCCAGATCTCTTCTACATTGCATACCAAATGTACTCTTAGTGCATGTTAGTTACATTGGTTTTGTCTTTCCTGACAATATTTGATGTGATTGGTTTGTTACACGAGTTGGGAGTTTTTCGCGACAACCAGAAATAGTTACAGAAAACTTTTCGTGACAGTAACAAATGATCATCAAGTTGAGCGTGTTCCTACAAGCAACCGTCTTGTAGATGCCGGGTTGAAAATGGCAAGCATTATGTCCAATTTCAAATACAAAAAGCAGAACAAGAAGTTCACTATTTATTTGAACACTGGATCAGACATTAAAGTTTTCATATTGTTACATATTTGATATATAAGACTGCATAGGTACATGGTTAGCAATCTTCAGTCCTCGTGACTTCAAGGCAGTGTATACGCTGCAAAAAAGAAGGAAAAAACTTTGTCAAGCAATGGAACAAAGCAACAGAAAGAACTGAATATGTGTTTAGTCCGCACCATGGGCAGTAAAGTGGACAAGATTTTAATAAACGTGCTACAAATGACTTACGCCCACACTTATAACCCACAGGGCGATCAGCAAGGTTGCATCGTTTGGGAATTGTTATGGCAATTTCTGGGTTGACACCAGAACTTTTAGCAGTATCAGAGAGCATAACAGCGCAAAGGCATTTGGGGTTCTGTCCCATTGTCTTCACCTGAGCGCAGCATTTGCTGGAAACAGGAGCATTCGCATCCTGCGCTGCAGATGCACATGGAATAAGTTTCATAGCTTCCATGTTGGGATTTGCTTTCCCGCATTCACCAGCTCCATATGCTCCATCGAAGCTGGCAATTGCCAGAACAGTGAGGACTCCCACGATGTAAAACAACTTCTTCATTTCCATTTTCGTTTTGATTTCTCCACTTAAGATGCACAAATTCCGTCGGGTTTTATATTGATCGTGGAGCTTAACAGGAGTCGGGAGCTGACTCGAAACCCATTAAAAACTTGTAATGGAGACTCCAATTTTTGTATTGCTACACGAAGCAAATAAAAGTTCAATTGCAGGGTTATGTGGCAAGCTGTGGAGGATGAAATTCTACTCCGCGTGCAAACTAATTTGTTTTTATCTTTACATGCAATCAGAATTCAGAATCGTCCTCTCACCAACCCCAATAACAATTTTTTATAATTAGTGCGTGCTGGCTGCAACCCAACTAAAAATAAAAAAATGGATCTCTGATACATGTTAACATAAGATTAAGAGTTATAGCTTCACCATTTCAATCCCAAGCATCTATTTGTTACTTCATCATGATCAGTCTTTTGACCCAGCCCTGTTGCTTTAACAGAGCCGTTTTGGATTTATTCCATATTGACGTCAACCTAGAAATGTAGATAGAGTCGTGTCGAGCCAGCACAAGCTGGGTTTGCACTCATATATTTTCTAGGCATGTTCACAGTTCATGTCTAAAAATAAGGATAAATCCATATGTATAGAATAACTTCTTACATAATGTTGACAAAATAGTCTCATGATGTGGAGCCCACCATAAAAAATAATTGTCAAAAAATACCCTACCTACCCCCTTATGTGTGTATTCTAATATCATTCTGTGAAAACTTCTTCTGTACATCAATCATGGCTCAAAAAATAATGTGTTTCGCACAACACATTCTAAGCATTACCCGTTCTATATATTTAGATTCTGGAACACGAGATGAATGCACCCACGCCACTATGGGGAAATGAACACTGTTTTACAATGGTTTGAAAGTCTCTTTTATTTCCCTTTCCTTCTCTCCACAGGGAACGTCGCCCTGTAAGCGGCTACGTTTAACTAAATTGGCATAATCACTCAAAATCAAGATAGAAATGGCCACTTATAGAATCTTAATTAATAAAAGAAATCCGCTTTGCCAATATTACATGTAACAGGTTGGATCTATATGATGTTGTCCTAAACAAATCAGCATTCCATAAAACATTCAAGAAATACAACAGAAACATGTATGTAATCCATGTAATACAAATTTTTTTGTACTTCTCTTTTAAGGAACCAATTTTCTTTTGTGATTTTCTCCCTTTCCACCTAAAAGAAACCTAAAGTTTAACTCATCCAGGCTAAGGATTTTACCGCTCTATGTGATGTGATCTAGACTCCTTTTGTGTGGAATATGGTTCCTTCCCTTCGATGTTCAAACAAGATGTCCCTTCATTACATCTGTTAGAAGTAGAACCCGTGCCTTCAAGAATACTGCCAGAACTTTTCACCTTTGTATCACCACCAAGATAATTGGTCAAGACTCTTTTAACCCCTAAGCCACGACGTGGAGGTTTGTTACAATTTCCACTGAGAAATGGAGTTCTCTCCCCTCTTGAAGGGCTTATCAGTGGCGCAGGGGAAAAGCTAGGTGTGGCAAATGCTGATCTGTAGGGGGTGCCTGAGACTGGCACCGCAGACGGGATTGAGACCCTTTTTTGAGCTATTACACTGACTTTAGTTACTGATGAGAGATTATCAGACTTTTTGGTCAGGTCATCCACGTAAAGTAGATCATCAATACGTGCCACAATATTGAACGCAAGACTTTCCAAGACCCTTGAGTAGCTCTCCAAAATGGACTTGCCAACATCCTAGGGAGTTTTCAAAGTAGTCAATCATTTTATTGATAATATATGGTAAAAGGAAGGCACTTAAATGAATATAATATTCAGTACAAAGTAACTGGTATGGCATATTACCTTGTTGCACTGTATTTTGCTTGCATCCAATGTCGTTTGTGTTAAGCCTGGGAACCGTTGCTTCAAGCATAGCAGGAGACTTTCAGCTCTTTCTGCAAGCAATTCCCTCTTATCTCCGTCTATCATAAGATCCTTGACCATCTCCCAAGAAGATTTGGCAGTAGAACGGTTTGGATTAGCAGGGGTTCTCTGGTGAAATCTTCTACGCCATACATATATTGATGCCTCCACCCGGTTTGCTATCTCTAAAGCAACATGTTCAGACGATAGATCAAGGCAATCGAGCAAGCACTCCGACGAGAAATGTTCTGAAGTGATGTACCGATAGATGACATCCCCTAAGCAGGCTCTCCCATTCTAGAATTTAAAAAGAGCATTTATGGTGTAAATTAACATCATATTGTGATACATAGAGGACTAAAAATAATGTGAATTCTGGCAAATCCTATTTCTGTCAAAGGATTGCAAAGTACAAATATTGCAAAAGATTTCATATTAATTATAACAGCTTCGGCATATGCCTTGAAAGATATAATCTTGCTTTTAGAAACAATCCTGATCGTAAGATATATAGGAAAAGTGGCAGGAACGAGTTTGTATTTTAAATTGATGAAGAACTTAAAAGAACTACACTTAAAACAACTTGAAGCCAAAAGAAGAGCATTTTTGTAGGAATAGCAACATAGTAGCAATACAGAACTAGCAGCCGTAACTGTATGTTAACTTGAAGCACAATCATCAATATAGTGAAAAATATAAAAACAGAAGCCTAAATTTGAGGATGTCCAACCTTTGGAAGTGTTTCTAAGTACGATTCTGGAACTTCCATCTCAGCCAATGCAATGCTGTTAATAGACATAGCAGCTTTAAGAATCTGACTTGTGCATTCGCGCTTGTGGTTTAATTGCTTTCTTGTGTTCTCAGGAAGACCTTCAGAAGGGACACGTGGTACAGGTAGCCACCATTTGTCCTCCTGCCTATGAATGGATTTGTGAATTGAGGCTGGTCCGTCAGCCTCTGGTGCTATTATGCCTTGGTCAACGTACCAAAATTCAGTATGAGTAAAACCATCTAGGATTTCCTGAAAGATCAGAATATAACGCATTAGAGAGAGATTCAGACAAGAAAAGAAGTGCAAAAAAGCACACAAATTTAACCCTCACAAGTAGCAAGTTGTCAAGTTTGCGAAGAGCTGGGAGATTAATAAATAGATCCGATCTTGAATGGCAAGTCATCACCTGAAGAGAAAGAGAGGGAAATTATGGCATGCTTAGACATTAGACAATAATTTTAGTTATATATAAATCAAGTTCATTATCACTATTCATATATGCTTCAACAACTTCTCTCATGGATTAATTAATTTACACTTCAGTGCTATGCAAATATTTCAAAGCAAGTTCCAAAATAATAGGGATGAATTAGAGAGTCAAGGATCAAATTCAAGGTGAAGGTGAGGTAAACTTAGGATAAAGGATCAAAATAAATGGTGAAAGTCAAGTGAACTTAGGAAATATGCAACAATTAGACATTTAGCCTTGATTTTTGAACCCTTCAAATGAAGCATACCTCTGGTGAAGACAACAATAATATTAATACATGAAGCAAATATTTTTTAAAACATTCAATTGCTAGTGGCTTTTGAAGACATGAGAACTACCTCGAGCTTACTGCCATCAGGAAATGTTTGCCACGAGGGTATCAATTCGACAATGTGATCACTTACACAAAGAAGCAATTCCATCTCTCTTCTCCACATCGATTTCTTTGCAGAAGGCAATGGTTCCAACCTCCACAATTGTCCAAATACAGTGGCTATACAATAAGGTTTCAAATTAAGTCATTAAATCGCAGCACACAACCCCAGAGGATTAATTATAAACCTTAGAATAACAAAAAAAAAAAAAGTTGGAATATTTTAATCGAATTGGCTTGAAAAAATAGACTCATTCAAGTTGAAAATCAAACGAGTCTCGTCAAAGGATAAAGATTAAAGCTATTTCTAAAGCTGGATAAAGTGTAGGGAGTGAATTATACCCGATAGATTGGTGATGGCATTCGAAATCGCCAATGCTGAGCAAACCCCTTTACCACTTCCAGACATGTCCTCACCAAGCAACAATTTTGCAAACCTCTCTTTCATCATCTCCGTTTCTATTCAATTCCATCAGAGGCTCAACTCAGAAGGGTAATATTAGGGAAAAGATTACCAAATTAACCACTATATCTTTCCTTTTCCTCTTTTCCACGGGGGAACAAGGGGTACAGATACCCAAATTTGTTTGCCAATGGGCTAGAAGTTAAAACATAAGAGCAACGAAAGCAGAAATTCAAAGACCTCAATAAAAGAGAAGAAATTTACCTGACAGTTTTGAACCCTGCTTCTTTAAGTTGGAATTTTCATCACCAACAGCATCCAAATGGGATTCTCCTTTTTCTTCAGAAACCTCATTTTTCGAACACTTGGTAGTCAGCTGGGCATTTCCTATAGGCCAACCCAAAGGAGCCGAAGAATTACGAGAACTCGATTTGCTATCAGAGCTCGTGCCACTGCTGCTGCTTCTTGACTCAGTGACAGAGTCACTACTCGTTGACTCAGACCCCTCTCTCTTCTTGATCTTCACAGCTACACCTTCCATTAAAACAAGAAGATCCCAAAAAAATAAAAAATAAAATATTCCTAATAACAGGAAAATGGGCTCAGCTGATCTTGTTCTGTTTGTAAAATGGGTTTATCAACGGCCATCAAAAGTTCAACTTCAAAGATCTATCTTTAACAGGTTCTTGAATAAAAAATAAAAATAAAAAAGAAAGAAAACAAGACGAAAAACCCAAACAAAAAAACAAAAAATATTATGGGTTTGAGTTTGCCCGTTGCTGCAACATAATTGGTTTTCTGGCAAAAATGATTTTATTCTCTGAAATCTCTCTTGTGTGTGCGGATGGCATTGGGGGATGATGTTGGGGGGACTGGAATTTGATTTTTAAAATTTTAAGCCAACTGCCAAGTGCCGAAGAGGCTAACGTCTACTTCTGAACTTTGGATGTCTCATTCAAAATAATATTTAATAATGAAGGAATAGATTTATCGTAGGGGCAACGGATGTGTCAATTATTTAAAAGTTACACTATTTATTTATTTATTTATCTCCAAATCAATAAAAATGAATCATTTTTGTTTGTCTACCATTATTTCAATTTTTTTTAAAATTCATTTTCAACTAAACGTTCTCATTATAAAATATTTTGTACGTAAATTTAAAACTTTTTTATACTTTTTAACCACAAACAGGTAGGATTAGGGCTAATCAACCTACGAAAATTTTGAATTTGCGCATTAAAGTTTTCACCATGAGTCTAGGGCTTTTAGATGAGTTGAGTAAAAATCAATAATCTATTGATTAATCAAGAACTTATTATTTCTTAATTTATTTTTTTCTTTTTACGAACTAATAATTCGATGTATTTGTTTAACCAAATAAAATTCCATGAACATATTAATGTACTGATTATTCCGTTTTACGAACATTTAACAAAGCAAAAAATCCATTTAATTAGACTAGACGAAATTCATACACATCATACATAGAACAATGATTTTTCATCTTAAAGGTGTAAAGAAATCAATAATTACATATGAAATGTGTAAAATATTGCGCGTGTACAACAAAGATAATCCAAACAACACTCAAAATTTATTAATTTGTCATGTGTTAAACTATGGAATGCTATGTGTACATAATAGTGTACACATAGTATTACACTCCCCTCACATGGAGGGGGTCCACACACAATAAAATATTCGTGGATCCCTCTCCATGTGAGAGGGGTGTAATGCATTGTGTACACCATGAATTGTACATATATTATTTCTCTTAAACTATTCGAGGGTATACAATGTGTATATTCAAATGTAATAAATGGGATGGATTAAACTACCAAAATGATTTCAAAAATTGTGTCTACAATTTTGTTGGTTAGGTCAACCACTTCAATGATGGAGATTCAATTCATTCCGCATCTTGTGAATTTCCCCAGCGTCTCCTCATGGGTTTCGTTCCGCCTCTTTAATGTAATGGGTCCAATAAATTTGAAATAATTTAATAGAAATTCAAAATGAAATCTCGGTTACAGCTCGAACATTTCTATGATTCTACTCGTCAAAGTACCACTAGGCTATAAAATAAACGGAGAATATAACGAGATTGGATATGAAATGTTAGGCCTTATTTTGAAATTTAATTATCATTAAGTTATTTTCTATTTTTAAAATTCTTTTATTTATTTTCTTTTTCAGTAACTTTACCTTATTTACCTTAATAAATAACATCGATGTCCTTAGTCCTAGAGAAATAATTGGAATTATTGACAGCGTCAACGTAAAGTGGGTGAAAGTTTAAAAATTGGGTGATGCATTTAATACTAATAATTGTCATTTATAAGAGTAATTGCGGTCAAAAAAGTGCTAAAAACACTGCCTAAACAACATTTTCTAACCTTATTTTATAGCAAAGACTATAGTTTTGTCTTATTGCAGACAATTATTATAGACAAATCGTTAGAGGATTGTTATTAAGGTATAAAATCGAGGCAAATTACTTATTTTATATTTAAACGACATAATTAAGGAAGAACCACCTTGAGATGATAATAATAATATTCCTTGGTAAAAATGACGTAGAATAAGAAAGTCCAGCCGTTTGTTGCAATTTAGGATTAAGTCCCTATTCGGGCCATATTTTTTCATCATTTGTAGAAGAAATGTGACCGTTAGTCATTAAAACGGTTCACAGTTCTTGACTTCAACACACACGTGTGCGGCTCAATTAGACAAGCAATGATAAAAAAATTTCTACAAATTTCCTGAATAATATGGCCCAAATAGGGGCTAAATTATAGTTTTCTACAAGAGCTTCTGTAGAAATTTCGCGTGAAGCTGAAATCAATATATATTTCACTTACCTCAAATTCTCTAGTTTAGACTGAATTTTTGTGCAAATAAGTTCTAGACAATTGAATCGTTTAGAATTTATTTTCTTTCTATGCAAATTTCATGCTTACAATCAAAATCAAACGTATATTTACCTCAAAATCTCTAGTTTAGACTAAATTAAAGCAGCAAGACGTAGTTCTTTGCTGATTATATTCCTCAGTTGACGTCATTAGTCCTTCAATGTCGAGGTTGTTGTGAAAAAACTGGTCTTAGTTGAAAGTTTAGTCATGATTGAAATGTCATAGGTTGGATTATGAATTAATTATTATTATAGATTGAACGAATCTACTTTATACTATTGTGTCTAAGATGTGTTTTTATAATGATTTAGTTTGGTCTTAAGTATCGTGCGTCTATATGATTATTAGCTAATGAAGATCTAATCATATCATTCAGAACTCTTAATCTTACGCCGAAGATATGGCAGTAATGGAAGTATTTGCCAAAATGATGGAATACTAGGTGCTCGAGGTGCAATTCAATGTAACTTATTGAGGCTTGTTCAAAGATTTCGGATCGACTTTAGTATGGTTCTAAAGAGTAATACTATTTATAGTCACTTACTGCATTAGTCATCTTACGTGACATCCTACATGATGATTTGTGATTTGATGTATTAATTTGATAATTTTTTGTTGCTATATATATCAAATCAATTTGATAAAGTGGCTCATATTTAGCACTTATTCTTACATGTTTTTGGAGAATCGATTTTTTCTATGTGAGACAAATATTAACCAAATTCAGCATATTCAAATATAAATGATTTTCGATAATAAATATATCATGTTAATTATTTCACAATATTGAATACGATTATGTTTGATCACACTAATTATGTTCGATTCCTGGTAGGAACCTGTGGCCAAATATTTGGTATGGAGCAATCACTGTGGAGGAGGGTCTCTTGTGCGCAGAAGTGCACAGGCAATAGGGGGAACATGTGATCCAGTTGAGGCATAACCCGCGATTTACCCCCTCCAAGGTTCTAGGGGCAAGGGTCTTGGAGGTCCAGGATTTAGCTTAGTGTAAGTTGGGATATCTGGATATCAAAAAAAAAAAAAAAAACGTAGGCGCGCATTTGATTTTTTCAATGTATTTATTCTTTATTTTGCTCGTTGTTTATGAAGATTTGGTTGAATGAATATTATCATTGTGACACTTTCGCTTTTGAGAAATTGGATACTAAATTGGACGTCAAGCTAGAAACGGAAATGCAAGGCTTAACGATTAGTGAATCATACTCTTTCATTTGGAATCTAATAGGGGTCTGGGGGACAAAAATTCAGTTTTGAAAAATAATTTCATACCCTTGACTTTACTATCTCCGCTTTTGACTTCGTTAACAACTTTGCATCATGCATTTCAGTGAGGATATGGGAAAAAGTGAAGAAGTGTCTGGATTTAAAAAGAAACGCGAAAAAACTAGTATATTCAAACGTTTTTAAAAGTTCAATTCAGAAATTCTGAAGTTCAAATAATAATATAAGAGCCCGTTTGAGCCACATTATTTGTAAAATGAGAATGAAAAATAGAATCGTTATGGACCCCACATTAGAGATAGAAATTTAAAAAATGTGACTTGATATGATAGATAACGATCATATTTTCATTTTAATGAAGTAAAAATGGGGTTCAAACAGGGCCAAATGTTATCCTTATAAATTTTGGGTTCAACTACATAAATTTATTTTTATAAACTGAATTTGATCGGTTGTGCTTACTAAATATTTCAACGTAAATCTTAACGACTACACACATCATGTAAATTTTGATTTTCGACGAATAATATTCCTAAACTAATAAGATTACCTTCTTTTTAGTAATATAAACATTTAGGGTCTGTTTGATAACATCGTATTCCATAGAAAATGTCACATACGAGGAATTTGTTTTCTACTTTGGCTGTTTTGATACGATAGTGGAAATGGAATTCGAATTTTAAAGTACAAACATTTAAAGCATTTTTTGGCCAATTCCATGGAATCGAATTCTTATGGTTTTGGTGATTTTTTCTTTTCCAATTTATATGAAATTGATTTGTCTTTTTCACCTTTATTATCAAACGGACCTTTAGATAAAATGCTTTCTCATACGGAGGTGGGCGTCAATTGGGTCCTTCGCCCCACTTAAATTTGAGAAAATTTGTTTTTATATGTATTTTTGTGGTTTTATATTTCGTTTAATCAAGTTTTTACAGAATTCGAGTTTTGTCTCCGGTAATTGTGATTGTCCTAATCGGTCTTAATTCATCAAAAGATATATCTTTTGATGAAGTTCAAATCAAAAAATTTCAAAATTGGTCTTTGGTGGGAGAAACTAAATGAAAACAATCCATCTCCATCCAACTTTCTTTAACTTCCCCTTTTTTGTACATGAATTCAAAATTCCATATGAAAATTGTGACATCCATGCCAGAAAAGAAGCTAAGGTTTCAAATGAGATGCCCCGTTTTTGAATTTATTGGCCTAAAAAGTAAAAGCAAAGTGCGTCTTCAGTTCAATTTTTGAAACAGGATAAAAGGAAAAGTTTTTCTCTTTTGCACAGAAGTAAAAAATATTGGCTAAAGTCTTGTCAGCTTTAACGGAAAAATAAGAGACTGCAACAGTAGAACGAGTAGATATCATTCCTTTTCAATTGATTATCATCTGATTTTGGCAAGGAATGTCAATTTGTGTGGTTTGGAATTGGGCCCAGCAATAAGGGTTGTGAATGGGGGTCCATTTACTTGATAGGTAACTGGACTGGACTAATTCAATGAACTTTTACGGGCCATTTGAATCGTCTTGCGCCAATGAAATTCTTTGGGCGTGTTACAAATTGTTTAAAAAAAAAAAAAAAATAATAATAATAATAATAATAATAATAATAATAATAATATTTCAAACCCCTACTTTTTAAGTTCCAATTTCAAAAATCCGGTCCTAATTATTATTTTTTCAATAATCATGTGATAATTATTTTCAAAATATGTATATCCCACTAACAATGTACTCATCCCAATCCGAGTTAAATGCTTCAAAGCAAGCCGAACTTTGGGTA